GGTGAAAGTCCCTTGATGCCTTTTTTAATCTCTCTCTCTCTCTCTCTCTCTCTCTCTCTCTCTCTCTCTCTCTCTCTCTCCTTACTTCCCTCTCCCCCTCTCTCTGTGTATGGTGTGTGCTATCATAGGTGGCCTATATTACTAAAAATAATTTAAGAGGAGGAATAATCTAGGGGTGGGTAAAGGGGACTTCACCAACTTTGGAAATGGAAAACTAAGACTCAGAGATAAAGACAAGGCTGTGTAACACACAACGATGTTGCTGATGCCATCAGCTTCTATTTTCTTATGGCCCTAGCCCTAGGGTCCCCTGCCGACAAGGCCTGCAGCCTACAATGGGAAAGGTTACAAAACATTAGCCTAGCATCTGTGACCAACTAGGCTGTGAGCCCCAAGTGAGAGCTTCCTTGCTTCCTTTCTAAGGTCCCCAATAATTTCTCTATCCTGTCCACAGCCCCATGTCCTCCACAGCTGGAGCCTGCCAGTACCTCCACCATGAAGTAGCAGTTCCCCCGGGTTCCATAAGTGAGCGCAGGCTTCTTCTGGCTGATCCACAGATTGTCTGAAATCACAATGTAGTCCACACTGGAGAAGAAGTGCTCCTTTTCTCTCCTGACCACTTCCTCCAGGGCAACAGATCCAGCCTCTTCCATCCCTTCCAGGATGAACTTGATGTTCACGGGAAGATCCTGGATTAACAACAGAGTAAAGAGACGGTACAATACACTCAAGCAAGGTTTTATTTATAAGCTTGTATTTAATAAAGATATATGCAATAGTCATCTATACTCAATGTATGGCTTGTTTACCCCCACAGCAGCTCTGTTCACAGCATAGAGGTGAAACAAAGGTAAGGACAGCTGATAGATTCCATGTGGCCCTTCGATGTAATGCTAGGACAGGATTTGGAGCAGAGATCCCAAAGTCCGCAAAGCCCATACAAGAGGCTTGACCATACTTCAAGAAGTGGATGGGGGGGATGGGGCAGAGACATCCTTCCCCGAAAATGAGGGGAAAAGGAAGTTGTGTGTGTGTGCAGGTGCATATGCACACGTGGGAACACGCATGTGGAAGCCAGAGGTCTGTCTAATGTGTTCCTCAGTTATTTCACCTTAATTGTTGAGACAAGGTCTCTCATTGAATCTGGCTACCCTGGCTGGTCAGAGAGTTGGGGTATCTTCCTGTCCCCCAGTATTGGGGATACAAACCCTTCACACGGGTCCTTTGGACTTGAACTTGGGTCTTTACCTTTACCAACAAGGCCCTCTCCCCAGCCCACCTAAAAGGTACCTTTGAAGAAAAATTACTTGATTACAAATTGCCATTTGGTTCCCATAATTCTGATCGTGATAAAGGAAAACTTTCTCCTTTGAAAGACTGTTGAGCCTCAGGGTACATTTCTCTCAGGAAGGTTATTCTTCAACTGCATTCAAACTGCATTTTGAGTTTTTCTCAAAGGCATTGATTGTGAGCAAAATGGATCTTATAGTTTTCTCTATGTGAGAAGGACAGGGAGACCTCCTTTAAAGTTCTGATCCTTTTTGTCTGACTGATTTGTTTGTCTTGGAGAGCCACGGTGAAAAATTAGGGTTTTTCTCCCAGAGCACAGAACCAGCTTCAGAGAACTCTGTTACATGCTGAGAAGAGACGTGGTCATCAGCATAGAGAGGAAGTGGATACAGATTACATGGAGCCGAGAGACAAGGCCAGAATGGCAAGAGTCCTGTGCCTTACAAACAAGTGACCTATTTGGACTGAGGGCATTTGGGAATAAGGATCAGGTCTGTGGAACCTGCATGTCTGTGTATTCTGGTATCCCGGGAAGACGAGCTAAGCTTAGAATCAGTACAGTCTGATGTCCTTTAGCAACACTGAATGAGCACATGATTGCTGAGGCATAGCTGGAAGCTGAAGGAGTTTTCAGCAATCAGCTCGTAAGATGTAATCCAGGGCTAGCAACATGCTCAGCAAGGAAGGGCACTTGCCGCCAGGCCTGATGACCAGAGCTCAGTCTCTGAAGCCCACCTAGTGGGAGGAGAGAAACATCCTACAGGTTGTTCTCTGACCTTCTTACACATTCCTAGCATCTCCCCACCACTGTACTCTAGGGTTTTTTTTTTTTTGATTGGTGTGTGTGTGTGTGTGTATGTGTGTGTGTGTGTGTGTGCAAAAACCATTACACATGTAGAAATCAGAGAGCAGCTTGAAAGAGTTCTCCTTCCACTGTCTAGGTCCCAGCGATCAAAATCAGACTTGGCAGCAGATGCTTTTACTTGTCGAGACAGCTCACCAGCTCCGTGTTCTGGTTTTAACGTGGCTGACAGTGCAGGCTGGAACCCATGCTGCCAGGATGACTGCTCTCTGGCTGGCTAGCGCTGAGTAAGTTCCTTGAGTCTCCCAAGCTTTTATTTCTGTCTCTGGGATGGCTGTGACAATGCTTTGCACTCAGGATTGTGGAAGGTTACTACCCCTGCGCAGTGGCCCGAAGACAGGGTGAGTGGCCCGAAGGATGTTTTTATTATAATTGCCTCCTAGCCGCCGCCCTCTCTCACAAGTGCAGCTGGTCACCTACCTGCTCCAGAGCTTTGAAGGCGCTCACGGCATTAATCCAAGCCAGGACAGGGCCTTTGTTATCTGTCGCACCCCGTCCATACAGCTTTCCTTTAAAAATGATAGAAGAAAGTTTTAAAATAGTACTGCCAACTTAACATGAGTTATATGAACTCAAATTTTGAGATAAAAGAAGATCCATATCTGCATTAGAAGTTTCTACAAAGCCAAATGACTGAACTTTGTGATCGCAGTTAGTTAAAATATTGCAGACCAAGCCTGACTCTGGGGCTATTTTTAGTCCTGTTGGGACCCATCTGTTCCCTGTCCGTGAATCTGACCTGAGCATCCTTGTGGCCTCCAAAGCTTGGAGAATATATGCTGAAGAGACACCTAAGTGTTTTACCAATCAAAAAGCAAAGCATGCTGTCATATTTTCTTTTGAGATACGGTCTTGCTTAGTTGCCCAGGCTTGCCTTAGATTCATTTTGTAGCTCAGGTTTGGCTTGAAAATGTGATCCTTTCTTCAGGCTCCCGAGAAGCTGAGTATAGTCTAGTAAGTACCACACCTAATTCTGCTCATTCTTAACCACAGCTAGAGACCCGGGACAGCCTTTGACCCTGCCCAAACCTTGACTACAGACAGCTCCACCTAGGCATCAGATGACACTAACCATCCACTTCTGTGAGCGTGTAGGGGTCCGTGAGCCACCCATCAGCCTTCTGCGCTGGCTGCACATCCAGATGCCCATAGAAGCATACGGTGGGCTTCTTGGCATCACTTCCCAGCTCAGCCAATAGGATTGGAGGTATGGGAAGACTCTGGCCATCAGGCATCTGTGGGACAGTGAACCACAAGATTAAAACAAACAAACAAAAAAACCACTCTATTCTTCCAGAGCATTCACAACAAGAGTCCTGTCTGCTCTACGCTTGAATCTGCTTCACATTCCCCATCTCTAAGGTGCATACAATGGTTGCCTATCATGATGTATGACATCAATCCCAGGACTAAAGGGCCGAGACGGGCGAATCTGTATGCATTTGAACCAGCCTGGTCCACAGAGTAAGTTCTAGGCCAGCCAAGGCTACATGGTGAGACTTAGATTCAAATAAATAAATAAACCCATAAAAAACAAACCAAAAATGTATTCAGTGATACACTTTCAATAACTATATGAAGAATATTGGGATTAGGATTATCAGTGATTATCAGATATACAATGCTAAACAGTATAGTTCACTGTACATATTCTTCAGGAACTCAGATATCAAATGTCTTAAAACAGCAGATTTTCCAAATCCTGGAAGTCTTTGATGATTCTGAAGTTCTCAGCGTTAAAGCAGGAGACATGGGATGTTCTGACACAGATCTGCCATCCTTGGTAGAAGGGGAGTCCTAAGCAATGGTTCTGTGCTGGCTGCTTCTCTGTTAACTTGATACAAGCTAGAGCTATCTGAATGGATGGAATCCCGGTTGAGAAAAATGTCCCCATAAGATCCAGCTGTAGGGCATTTTCTTATTTAGCGACTGGTGGGAGAGGGCTCAGTCCATTATGGGTGGTGTCATCCCTGGGCTGGTGGTTCTGGGTTCTATAAGAAAACAAGTTGAGCACGCCATGGGGAGCAAGGCAGTAAACAGCACCCATCCATGGCTTCTCCCTCTTCTCTCTTGCCTCCAGGAACCTACTCTGTGTGAGTTCCTGCCATGACTTCCTTTGATGATGAACTGTGGTGTGAAAGTATGAGCCAACTCATCCCTTTCCTCCCCAATTTTCTCTCTGGTCATGGTGGTTCATCAATATACATAACTAGTACAGGTTCCGAGGAAAGAGCACTCTTCATATGGGTTGTTCAGAAAGCTGCCTAGGCATGTAAGAAAAGGCAAATGGGACGTGTATGGAGAGCCAGAGGGGCAGGTCTTCCAATAACAAGTTGACCCCACTCATGGCTTCCATTTTCTTCTTAACCTGTGCCCAGTCCTGCCATGACCAGAAGTGCACAGCTCAGTCTCATTTTGGACTAGACAGGATGTTCAATTCCTATTGGAAATCTGGGCTCTGGGGATTGAGGTGAGAGCTGAGTAAGTCCTTTCTTTTTAACACCACCCAGGAAAGGCATGGCTGATGGCCATGGAAGTGGAAGCTCCTGAGCTAGAAGGAGATCCCCTGGCACCTGTTGAGAACCCAAGTCCACGGATGTCACTGCAGCTCCCAGGTGCCGGAGTTTGTCTGCAGCCAAAGCCATCATCCTGAAGAGCTCCTGTCTGAAACGAGGCACAGGCTGCACAGAATCGCTCTCAATGGCCACCCATTCCTTCAAGGTCTGTGAAGAGAGACAGGAAGGGGGTTATCATGTTATCATGGCAGGGAACAGCAGCCCATGTCCAGTTGGGTAGGGGAACCCAAGGGCTCTTTAGTTCCTGAAATCTCGTAGATTATTCTAATAACACAGTGACTTCCAAAAGTAAGCGGTGGAAACGAGATCACATTTCAGTTTTAAGGACTGCCTTGCAAGTGTTGAGAACCCAAGCTCAATCCCTCGGAGACAACCCTGTAAAACATAATCTGGACACTGTGGTGCACACTTGTAATCCTAGAACAGGTAAGGCAGAGTCAGGTGGTCGCTGGAGCTCAATGGCCATCCAGCTGACCCTACTTGAGAAGTCAATAAAACTATTGCTTCAAAACTAACAAAATAAAAACCAAACCAAAAAAAATTAACAAAGTGGGCAGCACCTGAGGGAAACAGTGTTGAATTTTGACCTGCACGCGTGTGTTCACACACACACACACACACACACGTGTACACACACACACACACACACACACTCTTGATGGGTGAGCTTAGGGTTTAATTTAAAACTGGAGACCAGAAGCATCTAATAACAAAGATGAGATAGGGTAGGTTGAAGGAATGCAGTCAACTCATCCCTACGCATTCAATCCCCTAGGCACATAGCTGGGACTTGAATTCATCACTGCATGAGTTGAGTTACTCAGCCAGCCTCAGCCCATGGTCCTATACGCCTTTGACAAATCCTTAACCTTCCAACCTCAGATTTCCAACCATGAGGGAGCAGAGTGGGGCTGGCGATTGGCTCCCTGGTGGAGAACAATTACTGTTCTTGCAGAGGACCCAGATTCAGTCCCCAGCATCCACATGGTGCCTCCCAATCCCGTGTAACTCCAGATCAGGGGATCTAGTGCCCTCTTCTGGCTTCTGAGGGTTTCGGCACACAGGTGAAATACATAAATACACACAAAATTAAAATCAAATGGATGAATTGATACACATAGGAATAAAAAGGAAATAAATTAATAACTTTTCAAAAGGAGAGAGTGTTCCCTAATTCCAGGCAGGCACCTTGCCCCTGTGCTATAGAACTGAGCAGACATTCACCAAGAGCACCCATGATGGAATATTTTTTTTAATTTATTTATTTATTATGTATACAATATTCTGTCTGTATGCCTGAAGGCCAGAAGAGGGTGCCAGACCTCTTTACAGATGGTTGTGAGCCATCATGTGGTTGCTGGGAATTGAACTCAAGACCTTTGGAAGAGCAGGCAATGCTCTTAACCACTGAGCCATCTCTCCAGCCCTGATGGAGTAATTTGTAATCCTTGCTTGTGGTTCAGTGTTGGAACCTGAACTGCTTAAACTGAAACTTTTTTTGTTTGTTTGTTTGTTTGTTTGTTTTGTTTTTCGAGACAGGGTTTCTCTGTAGCTTTGTTTGTTTGTTTGTTTTTCGAGACAGGGTTTCTCTGTGGTTTTGTAGCCAGTCCTGGAACTAGCTCTCGTAGACCAGGCTGGCCTTGAACTCACAGAGATCCACCAGCCTCTGGATTAAAGGTGTGTGCCACCACCACCCGGCTGAGTACTGATATTTTAACCTAATAAGAAGTCCCCACCATTTTTAATGGAATCATATCATCAGGCCTGAAAACCCCACATCTCCCAGCAGACTGAGGTCACCCGATTCTGAAGGGAACAACCAGAGCATCACGTGTGACTTCTCCTACCTGCACGAACTCATCCTGGTGGAGGTCCATGTACTGGAAGAGCTTCTCCAGGAGCCCTGAGGGTGGAGGAGATGAGAGCATTCCTTGTCCCAGCAGCAGCAGCAGTGCCAGGACAGATGAAGCCTGTGATTGGTGACAGTGAAAACAATGCCATCACTGGACTTTCTGACCTTTCAAATGCTTTCGCAAACCTGCTACCCAGTGCTGCAGCTCCTTATGAGTTGGACTAACGTGACCAGAGGAGGTTGAACCAGAAGTGCGTGCCTCCCCACATTTTTTCCTGCATGCTTCGTTTTCAAAACAAATGCATTTAAAAAATAAATATGTATTCATATACTTTTTAAAGATTTAAAAATTTAACTTAATTTAAATTTTTATGGGTATGGGTGTTTTTCCTACATGTCTGGTTGTGCACTATGTGTGTGCCTGGTACCATGGAGGTTAAAAGAGAACACTGAATACCCTGAGACTAGAGTTACAAACAGTTGTGATCTTCCATATGGTTGCTGGAAATTGATCAGCCAGTGCTCTTAACTACTGAGCCATTGCTCCAGCATCTACTTTTATTTTTTTTTTGAGAACTTCAGACATGAATACTTCATCTACATCACTCCATCCATCCCCTCTCTACCTGCCTTCCATCTCCTCCCACTCTTCCTAGCAAATTCATAATGTCTTCTTCTTTAATTATACTGCCACACACATATATGCATTTATCTTAGTGGGGTTTATAATGCTGAGAAAAATACCATGGCCAAAGCAACTTATAAAAGGAATCATTTAATTTGGGAGCCCATGGTTCCACAGGGTTGGAGCCTACGACAATTGTGGCAGAGAGCACGGCAACAGGTGGGTTAGTAGCTAAGACTTACGTCCGATCCACTAACAGGAGGCAGGATAGTAGCTAAGAGCTTACGTCTGATCCACTTACAGGAGGCGGGGGCGGGAGAGCACTACCTGGGAACGGCGCACTGCCTCCAGCAAGGGCATATCTTCTAATCCTTCCCAGTTTCACCATCTCAATAGTTCTCAACCCGTGGGTCACAGCAGCTTTGGGGTTAAAAATGACCTTTTCACAGGGTTAGCGTAAGACCATTGAAAAACACCGATATTTACATTACAATTCACAACACTAGCAAAATTACAGTTATGAAGTAGCAACTAAAATAATTTTATGGTGGGGGGGCCATTACAACGTGACAACTATATTAAAAGGTCATAGCATTAGGAAGGTTGAGAAACACCGCACCGTTTTCAAAGATATGAGCCTATGGGGGCCATTCTGATTCAAAGCACTGCAACTACGTACACATGTGTAGATATAGCCCACCAAGTCTGTTTACCATTGCTCAGATGTACACAGTCTAAGACTAAACACATGGGACTGGGCAATCTATGTAGGATCCTGTTCCTAGAGAAAACAGACGCCCCCACTCTCAACAGCTGTTGACAGAGGTTTCTGTCCCACTCAGTCCCTCAGTCGTTCAGTCCTAAAGAAACACACAGAGGCCTACATTAATTATAAACTAAGAAGCCTATTAGCTCAGGCTTCTTATTATTAACTCTTTTTTGTTTGTTTGTTTGAGACAGGGTTTCTATGTAACTTTGGAGCCTGTCCCGGAACTAGCTCTTGTAGACCAGGCTGGCCTCAAACTCACAGAGATCCGCCGGCGTCTGCCTCCCAAGTGCTGAGATTAACTGCCTGGCTCTTATTAACTCTTATAACTTACATTAGCCCATAATTCTTGTCTGCGTTAACCACGTGACTTGGTACCTTTCATTAGCAAGGTGTTTCTCACCTTGCTTCCTCTGGGTCTGGGTGAGGACAGCAGACTGAGCTTCTTCTTCCCAAAATTCTCCTGTTCTCATACTTCCTGCCTGGTCACCACACCTCTACTTCCTGTCTGACTACTGACAATCAACATTTTACTAAGCAAGTACAAGAAACAAATCTTTACAGGGTAAAGCCATTGTCCCACAACAAACAGCCTGTTGTAATTCTTCAGCTATGGGTAGGACCTTACTGAAGTTTCCCCCCAGTGCAGGCGTGTCTGCCGGTACTGATGTGCTGGTCCTATTCAAGCAACCATAGTGGTGAATGTTCATGGGTGCATTTTCTCTGTGAAGTTTTGGGGACACTATCTAATAGCAGACACCCTACTCTCCTGACTCAGACAGTCTTTCTTTCCCTCCCCTTCTTAAGTGATTTTGAAGCCAGGAGTAGAGGGGCTCCACTGTAGACTCATTGGTTGTAGATCCATCGGTTGGGGTTCGACACCCCACCCTCACATATTCTCTGCCTTCTGACCAGCTTGGATCTCTGTAACAGACTCCATTTGCTGCAAGAAGAAGCTTCCTTGGGACTGGAGAGAGGGACCAGCAGTTAAGAACCCTATCTGCTCTTAAAGAGAACCTGGGTTTGATTCCCAGCACCCAGCATGGTGGCTCACAACTGTCTGCACCTCCAGTTCCAGGGGAATCTGGTACCCTCACACAGACACGAGTGCAGAGATCTGTGCACAAACCATTGAGCCACTCTCCCTCACCTTTCTCCATCCTCTGACCTGCCATCCCCACCTTGCGGCCACTCCTGAGGGATTCTACCCAGATGGCCTTGGATACCTTTAGGGAAAATGCCTTCCATGACTTGGAAATGGTGCCACGTCAAACTCAACAAGACTGCACCTGGATGACATAGTTAGAACCTGTCTAAAACATAATAAATAATAACAACAATAAATAATGGTAACATGAATAAATGGGACCTCATGAGACTGAGAAGCTTCTGTAAAGCAAAGGACACTGTCACTAAGACAGAAAGGCAACCAACTGACTGGGAGAAGATCTTCACCAACCCCGCAACTGACAAAGGTCTGATCTCCAAAATATATAAAGAACTCAAGAAACTAGACC